CTGCACAAATTTTTCTCAACCACTTTGCTACATTGCTCTCATGTCCTCCACCAACCCCTCTCTAATGCCCAATGCACACATACAGGCTTCTCCTGCCATCACAAACCAAACCTGCTAGAAAAGGACTGACTGAATCAGAGGATATCTACAATTAAAAGAAAAATAAAGAGGAGGATTTACTAGGAAACTGACATAGAACTCCCTCAAACTCAACTAGGTTTTGCGCCAAGCAATGGGGCCCCATAACATGATGTGAAACATCAAGATGATTCTTAGCTTTGTAACTTGTCAACACAAAAAAAAAGAAAAGGGAAAAAGAATTCCAAAAAGGATTCCTGGTTTAAGAAGCCTTATCCTCTCATACATGGGGCTTATGCCTCAAGGCAAAACCAAAATAAACAGCCTTCAGAAAAAGTGTGAGGCCTTGATTTCTTGAAGTGGCCTATGCCCCATTTACTGATCTCTAACAAAGCCTACAGGAATAATGTTTATATCAAGCATGATTTCATCATTTCATTTTCTTTCTTCATTTTTATTAACTTTGGCTCCTCAACCCTTAAACCAGATTTAAGTGAAAGCAATTTTAAATGTTTTAAAACACGCTTCAAGTTTGTGATATCTTAATATCTCAGTACTTTGTTATCTTCATAGTTTTCTGTTTTTCTGTAGCATTTTTCTATTTCTCCATAACATAATTGGGATTTTTCTAAAGCATTAGCATGAAACATACTTCGTATGTTATGCTAAAAAGTTAAGCCAAAATACCACTCTCATGGAGCCATTCTTTTCCACCCCATTTGGGTGCACATTTCTTTAGCAATAGCACTATTTTTTCTTACACCTGTTTAAGATTCATAGGCATCCCAACTTAATCCATGACCATTCATGGAGAAAACAACGTTGCCTGTTCCTAAAATGCCACCAAAACTCTTGTACAACAACAAGAAATAAACTCTGTTTCTCCACTTCTCCCGAAAAGAGTGGACTTCTTTGGTGTGGCTATGGCTGTTTCAGTTTTTCAAGCCGCCCATAAAACTACACAGGGTAACTTATTTGATACAACTACGAAGGTGTCCAAATAGGGCCTTAAAGCATTATCTAAATGTAGTGGCTCATGAATACCTACCACATCAAGGGGTTGGTATTCAATCAAGTTGTTGGATTCTAGTGATAGCAAAATCATGATCCAAGATGTATTCTTCTATTCCTATCGAACTCTTATGTAAGTTTAATTGGGCAAGTCGAATGATTAATTAAATTGGGAAATCTCTGGAGATGAGTTATGATATGACAAATCTCTATTGGGAGCTACATTTTAGATAGAGAAAGAAGCACATGGAGCCTTTTGGATTGCAATTCCCAATACATATAGGATAAGAAATAAGGAACATTGTTAGTCCAAGGAATGAAAATGAAAAAGGAAACTTGGGCTTCTAGAAAGAGTGAGAGGCAAGGCCTCCAACACAGAAAGGCACAGCCTGCAGATAGAGAGAGATGAACCTCCTAAATCAAGATTGGGCCTCATACAAATAAAAAAATATGCTTTCCCATGGAGACTTGTTGGAACAAGGTATAGCCTAGCTTGGATACTGGTTATTGGGATTTTGAGACCTACCCAAATGAGAAAACATGACCATAATTACAAGAATTTTTACACAAAGATGGTGGACATAGCCAACTAAAAGCAAAATTGGCAAATCTAAACCAAAAATAGGAGCACAAGAAATAAAGCAAAAACATAAAACAGATCACAAAAACACAGGATATAAGTAGTTTGTGCAAAGGATATATGCCCATGAGTATAAAATGACATATTATGTGGTAAAACATTATACCTCTAACCCTTCAAAATTCCCTGTTGATCATCACTCAAAACCTGCTCTCTTATTGGCAACACCAGCCTATCACTCCTCTTTCATACTAGTAACTACAGTAAGAAAGAGATACAAGAGAAATGAGAAACTGGTATTATCTTTCTAAAAGGAGATGCCGATCAAATTTTCTCATAATCGTGGTTGTTCATTTTCTTTCCTTATACTTTGAACTGTTGGGAGGGTGCTTGATGCTAAACTGTTCCTTTCTTAATAGATTCTTTTTTTTTGTTGCACAAATCACTCAATTATTCTTGTTGAAGAAGAATGTGTTTAACAAATATCAAATAAATAAAAGAAGGAGAACATAATATTTACCATCATAATCTCCACCTCACACCAAATATTGCATTGTTTTTTTTAAGAAACCACTATTTTAAAAAGCGGACTGCCCAGCGCCTAGGCGGATATCCCTGGGCGCCCCCCAGAACCCGCCTAGGCAGCCGCCCAAGGCTTGTGCCCTGCCCAGGGGCAGAAATGCGACTCCTTGCAGGTATTTTTGGGTCATATTTTTAATACTAAAGAGGCAAAATTGTGGGTTTTAGGTTCATTTGAAACCTAAAACCCATTAGAGGTTATTTTAGAGAGAGCAAAACCCCAAAAAAAAAAAAAAAATTATACTAGGTCGCCCAGGTTCTGGGCACCCGCCTATGCGCTGAGCGGCCTGGACCCCCTGACCGCCTAAGTACCGCTTAACGCTTTTTGAAACACTGGAGGAAACCGAATACTACATATTTCACAAGGTGTTTTTTAAAACGCCTATAGAAACCTTAGCTACTCTTACTAAACCATGCACTAAAATAGCACTTGTTACTATCAAGGATTTAAGTATAACCTTACTTTGATACTAATTGTCGAAATTACTCTCTATCCTAAAATCTGCAATCTCAATTAGAATAGTGGATTTTCGTTTCCCATGCCCATGAATGTAATCCTTTGAGCGAAGCTCCTAAGCTAATCTGGTGTAATTTCTCTCGCATTTTATTTCGTATTCACCTATGTTGCTTTTAGACAATAGAGTATACAAACCTCAGTGGAGTCTAGGTAATTGGGTTTCATGTTTCCACAACTAGGTGGCTCCTAATTCCCAATGCATGGGACCAAAAGTAGGTTATACCTTATACCAATGACTGTGTTGGCTAGTAAATATTGTTCCCAGTAACATGTACATGGTATGCTCTAATTAATGTCAAACATGTGACATAGAGTCAGCTGAATATAAAAGAAGCAAATGCCTCAACATCACTAACAAGAAGGTTGGCTATAGATCTCAAGGATAGAACCATCAATCTTTGAGAATCTGTAGAATGCCATATACAATGGCATATACAATTAAGGAGCAGAAAATATTCACGTAAGTATTAGTGATATTCTTATATTTAGAACCATCACAGTAAATTGGTTGTAAACCCCAACAACCCCTTCATTGAACAAGGGGAGAGTTTTCTTAAAAGCAAAATCTTAAAGATGGCATATTACAAATATTATAGGCAACAATAAAGCAAAGTTAGAACAAATTAAAAAACCAGATACTCAAATATCGGATGGCTTCTCAAGTCACTGAACATAGTTTAAGAGAGGGATTTCGACGCATGAACACAGATAGCTACTCTTTAAGAGATGGATTTCCACTCTTGAACAAGGATAGCTACTCTTTATCTCCACAACAACATTTTCAATATGCAAGTCATCCCAACCAGCATAACCAATAACTTAACACAATAAGGTGGAAAGAGAAAGAGTACTTAGGCTAGATTGTGTTTATCATTAAAGTAATTGTATACTAGGGAAATAACAAAGCAAAATCATGAAACATTGGTTAAATCTAAATAGGTTTCATGGTCGAGAATCATACGACTGTAGAATGGATGAAACAAGAGTAAAACAAGTTTTTTTGGGAGAATTTGAGAAATGAAATTTCAAACCAAACGAATCTAAGTTATCTGCTTATACTAGGGCATTCCCCTTAAGTGACGCACTATACCGGAACCTTGGTACATTAATAAATGAGCAAGGGCTCACTAGGGCATTCCCCTTAAGTAACGCACTATACCAGAACCTTAGTACATTAATAAATGAGCAAGGGCTCACTAGGGCATTCCCCTGAAGTGATGCGTCGCAAACACCCAATTGCAGTGAAAAAATAGGCAAGGGTTCCCACGACATTCATGACGAGCGCGGGTAAAGAAGCTAGTCCAAGAGGTAAACTTTCCCTTAACCCATCCGAAGCTGGGTAAAGGGGGTGGGTTGTGGTAGATGGGCAGCTAACGTAAAACTTTGACAAAACTTTCCATGTTGATGAAATTTCAAACCTAACAATACTAATGGTTTAAGGGAAAAAAAGCTAAGAAAAATACTATAGCATGGAGTGGACATGCACACCAAATAAAGCTGATGACTAAGCTTAAAACTACAGAAAATGACCCTGAAAGAAGGCGACTGAACTCATATGTGCCCAGGAATCTTCTTGCAAAGATTGGAAAGATGCCCATGCTGTTACCTCAACTAAATGTTATGCATAAAAATGGTCTTCCAAATTTTGATTGATGCAAATTGTCACAAAAACCAACATTCCAGTGGTAATTGCCAGCAATGCTACAAAAATATCTTACAATTCAAAATCAACACAAGCCTTCCATGCCCCATATTTGAAGCATAAGGATGATTTATCAGAAAACCCTAGCACTCATCCCTCGCTTAGAGCATAGTTGGTGATGCATCCCTAAATCTAGAAAGGTTCTTGAAGGTTCCACAATTTGTGCCCCATTTTTCAATCCTATTGCCTTAGAATACATCAGTTAGTGATACCGCATTTTCAAGCAAGTGAGTTTTGAATTTCAAAGCGTCTGGCCGTTCTCCCGCTGCCCGCAATCATAATGACCTTCAAAAAAGCAAGCGTTTTCAACCCTAGAATTCTGTCCCAGGTTTTTCCATATGACTCCCTAATTTACACAGGATAGAACGCCATGGATCCATTACCAAAGAACTTTTCTCCCAAAACTCTAGTCTCCTTTTTTGGTGCTTTCAAGATTTTAAAAAATAAATACAGAGCTTAAGTGGCTACCTGAGAACGAAGAAATAAGCGTAAATTTTTCAGATCAGAGTTTGATCAACAGGCATGGGCCTAACCTCTCAGAGAGTTGGAGACCAACTTGGAATCCAATGGCTTCAATTCTTCGAGCTGCGAGCTCTGGCTTAGTAGAATAGAAGCGGTTGCAATAGGATGAAACCATCTCTGTAACCAAGCTGTTGACACAGCTCTCTGATACCTCCTTCCCTCCCATCACTAATCACGGCAGAGAAACAAGAAACCAGAGGTTTGGCGGGGTGATAAAGTTGATCCTTGCCCTTAGCCTGGAATTTCAGTTTCAATAAGAAAGCGTGATCCAGTTGATATTTTGCCCTAGAAATTCCAGTTTCGACGTTTTGCTCATTTCTGCTCACTCGAAAATGGGATCTTAGATCCGCTTCTCAATAGAAAATTACACGGAATTTTGTTTTTCCTTCTCCAGAGACGCAAAATGTGGTAGCTTGGCTACGGTGGGTAACATTTGTGGTTTCAAAATGAAAGTTTCGGCGAAAGATTGCCGCAAGACATATAGATAGCACACTGGCATTGACATGTCTTTCAGGATAGTATTCAATTGCATTATTCAAATAAGGGAAAAGTTTAGATAAGGTTGCAACTGAAGTAGAATTAAAGATGCATCTCAAAAATCCATCATAATAACTTGTTTAGACATTGAAAAACCTTCTAATTGATTGTCTCGGCATCAAGATATATGAATATGAAAAGAATAAAAGACTTCGCGTCCATGAAATACTGTATCTTGCATTACATTATATGGTACTCCTATTTTCAAGATTTACATATATTTATAGATTTATTTGATTTGAACCATTTTTTAGAGTTTAAAATTTTATAATTAGATATAAAAATAGATTCTTTAAAAAAATTTTACATTAAAATTACATTTATGATAAAATTTAGAGGTGTGCCTTAATTTGATTGTTTAAAGTTATAACCTTATGCAAACCAAACCGTTCAAATAATATGGATGATATAGATTGAAGCAACCTTATTTCTACCAATAAGGTTATAATCTTATATAAATTTTTTCCGTATTTTATTACATATATTTGAGGGGCAAAATAACAACGCACGCCTACCACTTGGATGGCATATTCAATAATGAGAAAAATCCTAATTTATGTTACGAGGATTGATTTGCACGAATTTTAAGAAGCCATGGAATTTCACTAAACCCGTATTAATGCCTGGTAAGATGGCAAGTAAAGTAGTGTAGTGGATTTAAGTGTGATGCATGTGCTTATGTAAACAATATGTAAACAAAGATACAATAATAAAGAAAGGGGATAGTATACAAAGAGATTATTATCTCCATTACAAGGAGGTCACAAATGACAATGACTCTTAGCGACTGCATCTCAAATTGGAAGGCTTGGTGTATGTTGGAAAGTTTCAATTTTGTTTTTAGACAGTTTGATAAATGACATTCTTATACCCATCTGATTTAAAATCTAATGGACAAAAATGATTGTGACGTATTTGCATCAATATAAATAGTCTCTTTATATACTTTTACTAAAGAAGTAATAAAAACAAACACTAAAACATGTTTTGCTAGAAAATCTCACGGGTTGCTAAAAAAATATTATAAAAATAAAATGGATATTGTTTTCAAACATTAATAAATTAAAAATAAAAGTGACTCGTAAACTCCATAATTCATCACGTATATTAACCATAATCTACCACATGGTTTCCTACTTCTTATTTTTGTAAAAATGTAAGTGAACTTTTAAGTATGGACACAGTTTCGATATTAACCATAATCTACCATATGATTTCTTACTTCCTATTTTTGTAAAAATATAAGTGAACTTTTTAGTATGGACACAGTTTCGATGCGGTTTGTATAGAGCCAAGGTTCTACACAATCAAAGTAAAGCACACCTTCAAATAATATCAAGAAATGTAGTTTTAAATATAGTTTTAGTACCGAAAAACTTTGTGATAGCCTTAAAATATATTTTTATTTTTAATTATAAAATTTAAAACTTCAAAAATAATGTCAAATCGAGTAAATATATGAAAACATATAATCTAAAAAATTGACTGTAAAAAAAAACAATACAAACTACATCATTTGTAAAACTTGAAATTTAATTTTTTCTCGTATTCATGCTTCTTGATGTTAAAATTATCAATTTGTTTACAATACAAACTACATCATTTGTAAAACTTGAAATTTAATTTTTTCTCGTATTCATGCTTCTTGATGTTAAAATTATCAATTTGAAGATATTTGAATATTGGTGTACAAACATTTTTCCAAAAAAATATAAAAAATTATACAGTCCACTTGAAATCCCTTGCCCCCATGACGCTCGTCTGTCTCTATAAACTCCATCCCATAAGAGCAATTAAACCATACGCTATGCGCACAACGCTCCCATCGGCTATTCTCTGTCTCTTTAAGAAGCTTGAAGCTCCCAACCCTCTGCGCAAGTAAACGGCTCTCTCTCTCTCTCTCTCTCTCATCCCATAAGAGCAATTAAACCATACGCTATGCGCACAACGCTCCCATCGGCTATTCTCTGTCTCTTTAAGAAGCTTGAAGCTCCCAACCCTCTGCGCAAGTAAACGGCTCTCTCTCTCTCTCTCTCTCTCTCTATCACATAAGGTCTCACAGAAGCTCCCATCCCTCTGCGAATAAACGGGATGAAGTTTCTCCATGGTGTCTCTCTCTTCCTTTCCTAGTAGCATTTCTGGATAGAGAGTGAGGCTTCGAATCGCATTGAATCCCTTGGCCTTGGAGGCCTCTCAAGGCTTTTAAGAAGAAACACGGTGCGTTTTAGAGAGAGATGGGCGAACACCACAGGGACAGCAGTAGCAGGCGGAGGAGGAGGAGCAGAAGTTTGTCAAGGTCAGGGGCAGATTCAGACAACTCCTCTTTCTCTTACTCATCCTCCCCTGGTAGAAAGAGAAGTCGAAATCCAAGTCGTCGAGAAATAACAGAGGAGGAAATTCAGGAGTACTTGGCCAGAAAGAACGAGATCATTGCCAAGAAAGCCCAGAAAAAGGTTCGAGTCAATGTTCCCGTTTCTAAATATTTTTCATTTTCTTTTCTAGGCTCCTCATCATGGCGCTTGTTCTTCAGGCTTTGAAAGTGGCAAAGAAGCTCAAGACGCAGACCGTTTCTGGTTATTCCAATGATTCCAATCCCTTTGGGGATACAAACTTGAACGAGAAGTAAGCTCTGGAAATTTGAAATCTTTGGATCTTCCTATGCTTTCTGTGATTCTATATAAATTTCTGTTGTTTTTTCATTGTATTCTCCTGGTGTGAATTGTGTAACACTAGAAGAAATAAATTTCCCCATCAAATACATGTTTTTACCCTAATTTATGGACGAACAAGTTCTCTGGCGCCTTGTTCTCCTAAATTCGATTTGTGAACAAATGAAAAGATGTACTTGTGTCTTATAACTCTATGTTCTATGGAAGGGTGGCTTATTTAAATTCTAGGTAGCATAATCACATGAAGGTTCAAGTCGAACAATTTTGATCCTGCGATGATATGTATGTATGTGTCCTCCTGTTGATGACATGATTGCTTTGCTTGAAGATCTCATGAATTAGGCTTTCCCTTTGTTATGGTGAATTAGGCTTTTCCTTTGTTACGAGGAGTACCCACAACCCTGGAATTTGGAAAGAAGAAAGAAATTACAACACTCCGGGGGTTAATAATACACCCTTGTAGTTGCAGTTAACATTTCTTCAAAAAATAATACTTTGCAATGTATCAAAAAGCGCTAGGTGGGTCCTAGGCGGCCTGGGGGGTCCAGGCTGCTAGGTGGCTGCCTAGGCGGGTGCCCAGAACCTAGACGTCTGCCCGGTTGAAAAAAAGTAAGAAACATTCCAAATTACCAATATACTATATTCCAAGTTGAAAAAAAAAAAAGAGACGTCGAGAAGAGAATTTTGATAATCCATAGTGTTAAAACAGTAAACTGTAAAACCATACAAGTGTAGGATAATCTGCCTCTTCTTCCTCCTCTTCTTCTACCCTCCTCTTACTAGTATGTACAGTTTATGCAGATGAGGTCCTAAGAGTCTTGGTTGCGCTACCATTTTTTGTGTGCTTCTCTGAAATCAAATATTGTATAATTTCCTCCTCGGTAGCCTCAGGAACATTTTTACATGGGGCAACATCCCCCTTAATACCGGCAAGGTATTTTTTAAATTGGTAAATGCCCCCATTAGTGTCATTTCCACAATAATTACGTTTAATACGATTTTTATCACTTGGATTCGGGTTATAACCATACTTCCAACCTGGATCACCACTCCGACTAGAACCTGGAGAAGATACTTCATAGAACAAGACTTATTTTCATCGTTTTTTGGTTTTTCAAAATTCAAAAAATGTCTAATCTCATCTCGAACTGCTTCAGGAACCTTTGGACAAGAAGCAACATTACTTCTAACACCAGCAAGGTGTTTTTTTAAATCAGCTAATACCCCCATTGGTATCTTTTTCACAAAAATTACGTAATTTTTATGATTTGGTTTTGGGTTGTACCTATACTTCCAACGCAGATCACTTCTTCTAGAAGTGGTAGAAATAGAAATAGATCTATGACAATGATTTTGTTCTTATTTTTGTTTTACATAACTTATAAATTGCTTAATCTGCTCTCCGATAGCTTCAGGAACATTGTTACAAAGGGCAACATCCTCTTTAATACCGGCAAGATGTTTCTTAAACCGGCTTATGCCTCATTTTGTATCTTTTTCACAAAAATTGCATCTAATACAACTTTTGTCATTTGGATTCGGGTTGTATCCATATTTCCAACTTGGATCTCCACTCCGACGAACTCCTGAAGAAGACATTTTAAAATAAAACAAGCAATCTAAAAAATGCACTTACTTTGGTTGCTCGAACTCTAAACTTTGAGAAACACTTCGATGATTCGATCCAATGAAATGTAGTTTTGTGGAGGTTTGTTTCTCTCTAAAAGGGGTTATTGTGGGTGCAGGTTTCAAATAAACCTAAAACCCATCATTCTAAACTTTTATATCTTGAAAAAATGAAAAACAAAAAGTACTTTTCCACCTAGGTCTGGGCGGGGCGCAAGCCATGGTGGTCGCCTAGGCGGTCCAAAAGGCCTGGGCGCTCTATTTTTTTGAACAATGATACCTTGTAGTTGTTGTTGTCTCTGTCTGGCTCTACTAGTTTTGAAACTGAGATGGAGGTTTACAACTTTCAGGAGTTGTCTTTGCCAATTTCGTAGGCTGCAAAGGCATTTGATAATCCTTCTGGCACTATGTAATCTTTGATGCCTTTTTTGCCGTGTTATTAGTGGCATTCATTAGCATTTTTTAGTATTTCTGTTGCATGTGCTCTGGTCCTTATGTAAAAGACATAAAGCTTTCCCTTGTTCCATCTAGTTTGGTAGTATTGGATAAGTTTACCGCCACGCCAAAGTAACACAAATGTTTTTTGCTTTAATATATAGAATGTGGCTTTCCGTTAGAAAGCTATGGACTCGCTCAGTTTTTAAGACTTGGTATATGACATGTGTACATAAGAATCAATATTTATTTGCTTAGTCTGTCACATCACACTAGTGAAGTAGTTTCCTTATACATTTAAAACAAGAGGAATCCTCATAATAGATAACGGTTTCGTCATATATATGCCTAGTATGAAATAGTGAGATCCAATTTCACTCTTACGCAAGCTTATCTGCGTCAAAGTTATACGAGGATCAGAATCAAATATTGAAAGTTTATCTTATGTTTGTGGTTGCGTTTATCAACTTTTTTTTTCTGAATATCAGTGTGAAATACTTAAATAGGTTTTCTAGTATTTGCTTGGATTTCATTACATAAGCCATAAAACTGTAAATGAATACTTATAGCTGCTAAACTTTGTTCTCAAGAAGTAGATATCTCTTTTAACCGATAAAGAAAAAGTGGATTGCTTAAAGGTAGTGGTCTTGATCTCTGCCCAGTGAGACATATAATTAGAAAATTGCTTATCTGGTCTTGGGCATGGAATACCAACATGTTTATGCCTTTCTTGTTTGGAAGTCAGTAGGTTTGTTGCTTAGATCTCATTGGTCTCCATCAGTAGTACATCTGCAATGTACAAATTTAACATCTGTTACTATGATTATGGCATAATTGAAATAATTGAATACTTGTCTTCTTTATTTAGCCTAGTGTTCTTACTATTTCTTGCTATATTACCCAAATGTTGATTCAGGTCTTGGATCATCCTTAACATTTAAAGCTTCTTGTATGAAAGGATATTGAGTTTAGATAATTACATTCTATTGGCATGGAGACCTTTGATATATATTTGTTCTGTATTCTAATCTCTCTCTGTTCAGACTTTCTTGTGGAAAATTATGTGCATTAGGGTTGTCCCATGAATTTAAACCTGATTATGTGATTGATTTATTACCCAAATTCAACTGTTGACTATGTACACACTGGCATTTGTAAAATTTCATAGGTTTGTGTGGCGAAAGAAGATAGAACGAGATGTTGGTCAAGGTCTCACATTGGACATGCTGTCTGTTAAAGCTGAGAAAAAGCGTCAAAGAGAAAGAATGGTATCAACTTAAACTTCTAAATAAGCATTTCCTTTTTTACCAGTCTGTGGCATGGATTAGGTTGGTCCTATTGTTCGGATTAGAATGAGAAACATTACTTATAGGAAACACACTTTGGTGTTCTCTCTAAGAAAAACTAGAGTATGCAAAAGATGCCCTTGTTGTACAATGTTAGACGTACAAATGTTAGGCATACACCTACCAATCGAGATATGAAATATTATCTGTACTTCAAAAAGACAATATATACCTGAGACAGCACAACATAGAAATTGATATGACAGATAAGGGATTGGAGAAACTGATGTGTTTTCTATTTTAAGTTTTTGCATTTTATATTGAATAGCTGGCAACAAGAGATGCATCTCTCTATGGGCTTCGTATTCCTCCACTTCCCAATACATGGAAAGCATGCTCATGGGGGTTTATTGGATTCCAAGAACTGTTGAAGGGTAGAAACCATGCAACTCTGAAATTCCAGAATCAAGTCACATATCATACCTGCAAAATGGAGAGATAAGGATGGCAAAAATAAAGAAATGGAGAAGGATACCATCATGGTTATCTGATGCATCATCTGTAGAGCTTGCATCATAATTAACACGTTTCTTCTCTTAATTAATGATGCTTAAGAACTTCACAAGCCTCCACTTGCATGATAGGATTCACCATAATATGTAGAAGATCTCATATATCTATGGTCTGACTGTGTGAGAATGCAATCATAACACATAAAGTGTCAAGCAAGTTAAGTTAATTAAGACATTAAATATGTTTATTGATTATTTGTACCATGGGAGACGTTAATTGTAATGATTGCTGCCTTCAAGTTTTCCCTTAAGAGTGAAAGGTATCACTAGCAAGATTCTAGAAGAGCAAGGAAGCTTCCTTAGGATTAGAAGATGCTTTTTCAATGGAAAGATTTACTTCTATGAGATAATGCATTGAGTTTGACCGCATGCTAATATAGAAATTTTTTGTAAGGTTAACGGTTAACCTGCATGTGACTTCGTTATTTATTGGAGGCTTAGAGCATAAAACTCTATATTAGCTTCTCCCATGTTACGGTTCTTGTAATATCTAAAGTTCATGAAAAATATTGTTTAACTCTAATCCATGATCTAGTAACACAAATTATATCAATATCATTTGATTCAACCATGATTGTTCCATGTGCAAGCTTTTATTCCTTGAATCGTGATCATATTGTAGCTTGAGTGTCTATTTAAATGGCAGCCCTAACCCTAGCATACTTTGTTTAAGAATCCTAGAGTTCTGTACCTTGACTAGGCTTTAACTCATAATGCAGGCAGAAATTGAAAAAGTGAAAAAGAGAAGGGAGGAAAGAGCAATTGAAAAAGCTCAGCATGAGGAAGAAATGGTTGGTTGTGCACTTGATTTTTTTTTTCTATCGGTATGCATGAATAAGAATATGAACTGGAAAGATAGAATATTTGCTAACTTTTACACTTTTACAGGCTATGTTGGCTAGAGAACGTGCTAGAGCAGAGTTTCAGGACTGGGAGAAGAAAGAAGAAGAGGTATGCTAGTAATGGCTCTCACTGGATTGTTTATAAGAATTTGTTAGTCTATTCAATTTTTTTATCCCATTGTGATATTATGTGGCATGATCTGCTAAACTAAATCTTCTCACAGTTTCATTTTGATCAAAGCAAAATCCGGTCACAAATTCGACTGCGGGAAGGGCGTACGAAGCCTATTGATATTCTTTCCAAGAACCTGAATTGTTCTGATGATTTTGATATTGAAATAAATGAACCTTACATGGTTTTCAAGGTATGTATCTATTTTTCTTCTTTCCTATTTCATTACACATTTGTTTATATATATATATATATATATATATATATATATATATATATATAGTAT